CACCATGGCTTCCTCGGTGCCCATCTTGCCCCTTTACCAAGGCCTAGGAGATCTGGAGGATATAGAGGAGTCTGTGAGAATGAACAGGAGACGGGAGAGGGGAGACGAGAGTGCGGCTGCCTTTGGGAATGGGAGAGGCAGGGAGAGGAGGCCTGGGAGAGGATCCCGTGAGAAAAGCAGGCTCTTGAGAGAGGCAATGGGGATGCCAGGAAAATGGCAGGAAGGCTTATTCTAGCTGTGGTGTCTGGGGCAGATGAAAAAGTCTGACTGCAGGTTAGAGGCCCAGGAGCAGGAGGCTCAGGAGCTGTGGTTGGAGACAGGAGAGCCTGGACAGGGAGATTCCACAAGGAGTGCATCACAGAGGAGAGCAGCAAAGGGCAGAGCCCAGAGCTGGATGGAGGAGGGACGAGGATGGGCCTGCAAGGACCCAGCAGCTCCAGACTCCTTTTAAGGAGGAATCTGTAAGTGGTTGTTAAGCTTGACTTCAGGCCTGGGGTGGGGCAGGTTCTCGGCCACATTGTCTCCAGCTCCTGTTTCTAGGCCCTGTCTTATGGCTTTTTAACCAAATAAGGCCAAGGCCGGAGAGCCTTCAGCAGCAGTAAAAGCAGAAGGCCCGACCCAATCTGGGAGGCTGTTTCCCTCCTAGGTTGGCCACACCACCCTCTCCCACCCTCCCTGATGGGGAATGGACCTGCAGCCCCCTGCAGGTCTGCAGGGAATTCTGAGAGAGCGGGCACCCCTGTTCACATCCATGCTCTCTGTCTGCTGCCTGCCCTACCCCAGTCTTGGGCTCAGGCTCAGTCTGTGTGTCACCAGCCCCATCAGGAGGACAAGACTGGCAGGCGGAAGGGATGAGAAATGGAGATGGTCGTAGCAGAGGGCTCAATTGCTGGGTCTTGTGCTTGGAGCTAAGGAGATTGTCAGATTCTGCAACAACTTCTACAACACGGATGCCTCCAGCACAGATGGTCAGATGCTGGGCAAAGGGCTGCAGCAAAACCCTGGAGGCCCCTACTGTGCCAGGTGTAAACTCTTTACCTGCTTTCATAAGGATGTCCAGGGGGTTCGAGGGGAGAAGCCAGGGAACTTGGATAATGGGAGCATTTGGGGACTCAAATACCCACAGTAAGCCATACTGTAGGTATTTCAGTATTTTAACAGCTCATATAGCCATACCGAACATCAGTCATGGAAGACCCTTTCCAAACTGTCCATTCCCCTTCTATTACATAACAAAAGCAGCCATCGTTTGCAATTTCTTTCAACGAACATGTATTGAGTACTGAGTTGGAGCCTAGGCACTGGGTCAGGGAGAGGCCTGTCACTACGGGCTTCAAGGCAACCTCTTCCAGGCTCTGCCCCAGATCAGGCAGAGACCCCCAAAAAGGACGCTGCTCCACCCAGCAGCATCTTAAGCCATAGTGGGCTCAGTGCCTCCCTTCTAGACAGAGCCCGATTGAGTCACTGCATGTGCAGAGGTGAGCAGATCCAGCCTTGTGGAACCAGTAGAAGCCCAGCCTGGGTGAGGCTGTTGCTAAGCAACCCTGGAGCCCATTCTGAAAGGGTCCATCTGTTGGCCAGCCCAACTTCACTGTGTTCTGAGCATTCTGCATTCCCCAGGTCCCATCTGCTCCCTCCCATGTGCCTTAGAGCGATAATAAAAGTCCACCAGTATCTCAGTGTGAGCTGACAGGGGCCAGGCAGCACATATTTTTGTCCTAGATGTGTCTAAACATAGACGCAACAGGCGACAGGCAGAACGCAGTGGGGGGCGGGAGGCAGGAGGCCGAGATGCTTGTGAGCATGAGCTTTCCTGGCCTCCTCCCTTCTCCCATCCTCAGTCTAACTGCTCAGACTTCTGCGTGCCAGGAAGGGTGACTTCACAGCACTCCACGGATTTCTGTGGTACTTTCCAGTTGGACAAATTCTTTCACAGCCATTCTGTGGACTGAGCCTATACCCTTCCTGCCTTCATGGGCTCTCTGCCCACTCCTTTCCTAACCCTAGGGCAGCTGGCTGAACGCCTGGTCCTTTTTGCAGCTTTCGTTCTTCTTGGCCTCTCTGAAGTACTTGTCAAAGGCCACTACCTCCCCCTTGCAGCCCACTCCTTCCTGGGTTTGTGGACGCTAAATTACCTTGATTTTTCTGGTCTTCTGGTAGCTGCCTTTAATGCCCTCCTCCTCCCTTTTCTCAGCCTTGAAAATGGAGACATTCTTCAATTTTCATGTCTCCGTTCTATTTTCTTTCCTTTTTTACTCTCTTTTTGAAACAGGATCTTGCTCTGTCTCCCAGGCTGGAAGTGCAGTGGTGCAATCATAGCTCACTGCAGCCTTGAAGCCCTAGGCTCAAGCCATCTTCCCACTTCAGCCTCCCGAGTAGCTGGGACTACAGGCATGTATCACCATACCCAACTAATTTGGGGGTTGTTGTTGTTGTTTTAGTGTAGAGGTGGGGTCTTGCCATGTTGCCCAGGCTGGTTTTGAACTCTGGACTCAGGTGATCCAGCAGCCTCGGCCTTCTAGAGTGCTGGGATTACAGGTATGGGCCACTGTGCCTGGCCTCTGCTTTCTTTTCTGTGTCTCCACATCCTCTCACTCAGATTTATCCATTTCCAGGATTTCCCATGAAATGTCTGAGTGCCGGATTCCTCGGTCTCTCAGGCTGTGTCTTCATTTCTTCTTTCCCAAACTCCAATCCTATATTTCTGACCTTTAAAATACGTTTCCCCTGGAATGCTCTATAGGGTACAAGGTTACCCAAAAGGCAGATTAATGTATGATCAAGCAGGAGGGGGGCTGAAATAAGTTCATGTATCACACCCAATCTTTTCTCATGAGAAAAAGCAGGAGTTTGATAAATTCCTTTAAACATCATTTGTGGTTTACCAGTATTTCTATACTGAATTACATATAAGGGGCATTGCTATCTTTTTTTTTTCTTTTTTTTTTTTTGAGACGGAGTTTTGCTCTTGTTACCCAGGCTGGAGTGCAACGGCGCGATCTCAGTTCACTGCAACCTCCACCTCCTGGGTTCAGGCAATTCTCCTGCCTCAGCGTCCTGAGTAGCTGGGATTACAGGCACACACCACTATGCCCAGCTAATTTTTTGTATTTTTAGTAGAGATGGGGTTTCACCATGTTGACCAGATGGTCTCGATCTCTTGACATAGTGATCCACCCGCCTCGGCCTCCCAAAGTGCTGGGATTACAGGCCTGAGCCACCACGCCCGGCCCTATTGCTATTTTTTTGATGCTCAGAGCTTCTAAATCTAATCCTGCCATGATTCCACTGCCATCTCAAACTTAAAATTCATTCAAAAAATAATTTTCTGAGCAAGGAATGTCTAGATAGGAACGAATTTTTTGTCTTCCCAAACTCTCTGCTCCCTAGTTCTTTGTTTCTGTCAATGTTATTGGGATTTTCAAGCTCTATAGGCATGAAATGTCAGGGACCTTATCTAATAGGATTCTTCCTAGTGCCCCAGAATCTAACAGGATTCTTCCCACCTTCCCATTCCCACTGCTACTGCAGGGGCTCAGATCCTCATCACTTGGTGCATTAAAGGCGAACTGGTTCCACCTCCCCACCATGAAACAATAGACTTACATAGCCTTAGGTTCTCAGTGGGGAGGGCCTTAATCTTCTGTGGGTGCAATCTCTCATAGAATAATGGAATTCTACCACATCCCTCCCAAGCCTCTGATTAAATGTTCACTTTATTTTTTTTAAGTGCCTGGATACATGTAGAGAATGTGCAGGTTTGTTACATAGGTATTCATGTGCTGTGGTGGTTTGCTGCACCTATCGACCCATCATCTAGATTTTAAGCCTTGCATGTGTTAGGTATTTGTCCTAATGTTCTCCTTCCCCAAATGTTCACACTTTCTTAAGGTGAGCTTTCAAACCACCTGAAATCAGTATAAGTAAAGAACCAGCACTTTTTTTTTTAATAGTGATGGGGTCTCACTCTACTGCCCAGGCTGGTCTCAAATTCCTGAGCTTAAGCAATCCTCCCACGTTAGCCTCCCAAAGTGCTGGGATCATAGGTGTGAACCACCACACGCAGCCAAAACTAGCACTTTTTGAATGGAATAGGATAGAAAAGCTCCTAGGACATCCCATGGAACACCATTCTATCCTCCTGCCTCTGACGGCCACCACTCAGCCAAGAGTCTTCTCAGTTCCAACCACTCATTGCACACACGGCTGCCAACACCTGCCTCACATGCGTATTTCTCCTTGGACTGTGGCCCCTTGCAAGGTGGTGACTGTACATCTGGTTTGATCCAACCAGACAGAAGAAAAGAAAATCACCCCTCCTTCCCCATGGAATGTTACACCTAGTAATGCAGCCAGGATGTTAATGGCCTTGTCCCATGGCCACTGACTCAAGTTGCTGACTCACATCGGGCAGCTCTCTGGGCTTTGCCTCCCCCGCCACCCACCCCCCTGACCCACTCCCCCCAGGCCCAGGCGGCCCACACCATCTTTGCACGGCTGGAACTACTAGACTCGTTCCTCGTGCTGCCATTCAGTAGGCCCTCCCTTCTACGGGGGCTCCAAACCCAGCCTTCAAGAGCCAGTCAGGCTCAATCCACCCCTTTCTCTCACGTCATCTGCTTGACTCCGGGCTTTAAACCACTCGGACTCATGCGTGCACCAAATGGTCAATGGTCAATAAACCCAGCTAAAAACAAACACGCCCAATAAAACCCAATAATAAAAACAAGACCAATAAAACGTAGTAAAAGCCCATTAGACAAGAGCATAGGAGTTGGGGGGAAAAAGAAAAGGAATTAAACAACGAAACAAGCCCTGGGGCCCCACGGCTGCCTGTCTGCCACCACCCTGGGCTGTTACTGTACCTGCCCTGGCCTCAGTCCACACCACATTCTAATGTCTCCTTGACCTCTGGCCCTTCAGCTCTGTCTCCCTTTCCCCAGTCTGTAGAGCTTATGATCAAATAGATTCAGTGAAATACATTCTCCAGTTGCACTCACAGCACTTCCAAAAAGGTCAGGATTGTCTTTGCCTTAGTGCCTCCCACGCTGGTCACGGTAGGACCGGCTCCAGGCCCTGGACCCTAAGCCCAGTATGGGCTCCTTTGAAGTGCAGGGAAAATACCACTCATCTTGTCTCTGAGGACCCTCCATCTCCAAATCTTGCCGCAGTTCCTCAGCAGGTGCTGCACTTAGTGGCCACGCCGTTCTCTGATGCGTCACTGCCTCAGCTTCTCAACTCTGTCTCCCCACCTGAGCCGGTTGTGGGTCTCTTTCTCTCCTCCCCTCATCCTGGCACCTAGAAACACTCTCTAACTCTTGAGCTGCTCAAGCAGCATGGGTCAGTTATTTATAGAATGCTCCCAGATCGCCTTCCTCTGTTGGTGAATGTTCCGGGAATGCTTACTGTGAACTCGAGACAAGCCCAAGTAACTACGCGGCACTGCAACCATAAGCCCTCTTCCGTCTCACACTGTTGTAGCCGGTCCAGGGCTCACTTCTCCCCCTTGGCCCTGAGCGCCTCTCCTTAAAAGGATGTCAGTTACCAGCCCATGTTTCAGACAGGAATGCTGAGACCAGAGGAAGGGGAAGACTTGCCAGGTGCCTCCGGGAGCCAGGATTTGAGCTGGGGGCTGAGAGCTTTTTGTGCGGGTGGACTCTGTCCTCCCAGTCGCTGCTGAGTCCCTCTCTTCTTTTCCCACATCTGACCAACAGGGTCTTTGTTGGCCTGACCTCCAGTGTGAGGAGTGGAACCAGGCGAGAGGCCTGTCCAGGCAGCTTTGGGCCCAGTTCTACACTCACTGCTTGCTCCCTAACCTGGAACCAGGCCCTTCCTCACTCTGGGGCATTTGGGGGTTGCAAAGTCAGTTATCTACAATGCCAGGCAAGAACATGGTTGTGTGCACGTGGTCAGGGATGAGACGAGATCACTTTCCCAACATTCTGGTTTTCCCTTTCTTTTTTCTGAAATGCAGTCGTGCTCTGTTGCGATCTCCAGAGTGCACTGGCAAGCTCTCAGCTTACGGCAACCCCTGCCTCCCAGGTCCAAGCAATTCTCGTGCCTCAGCCTCCCAAGTAGCTGGGATTACAGGCATGTGGCACCACACCTGGCTAATTTGTTTTGTATTTTTATTAGAGACAGGGTTTCACCAGGTTGTCTAGGCTGGTCTCAAACTCCTGGCCTCATGTGATCAACCCGCCTTGGCCTCCCAAAGGGCTGGGGTTACAGGTATGAGCCAGGGCGCCCAGCCTAATTTTTTTTTTTATTGAATCAGAGTCTCACTCCGTTGCTCAGGCTGGAGTGCACTGGTACAATTATAGCTCACTGTAACCACAAACTCCTGGAATCAAGCAGTCCTTCTGCCTCAGCCTCTCGAGAAGCTAGGACTTCTACCTAGCTAGTAGTACATGCCACATGCCATCATGTCGAGCTAATTTGTTTTAAATTTGTTGCAGAGATGGGGCCTTGCCCAGTTTTACCTAGATGCCAAAGGAAGAATTAAACTGCTGTTGTTTGAAATGCCTTTTTTTTTTTTTTTTTAATGGAGATAAGGTCTTAACTCTGTTGCCCAGGCTGGAGGAGTGCAGTGGTATAGTCATGGCTCACTGCAGCCTTGACCCCCCTGCCTCAGCCTCCCAAATAGCTGGGGCCACAGGTGTGCACTCTCACCTAGTCACCACCACTCTCAGCTAATTTTTATAACTTTTTATAGAGATGGGGTTTCACTATGTTGCCCAGATCTGTCTTAAACTCCTGGGCTCAAGTGATTCTCCTGCCTTGGCCTCCCAAACTGGTGAGATTACAGGCATGAGCCACTACACCTGGCCTGAAATTCTTAAGGGATGAGAGTGTTGATGACAGAGCACTTTGGCATCACGGTGCCTAACTTGGGAGACAGGGAAGACGCGCACCAGTGGGAAGTGTTTACACCTGGGGACAGCTGTGCTGAGTACTGTGGAGCCCAGAACCTTGAGGTAGACAGCGACTTGCGACTTGGCCTTTTTCTTGAACTGTTTTGCAGAATGTGGATTGGGGGTAAGTGGTCTTGAAGCACTCATTTAGTCACCCTCAAATTAAGATTTCTCCTTCATGTTTCTTGGGCCTGCACCTCCAAGATGACAAAAGAGGAAACAATGGTAGTGCCAAAGAGGGCCGCAGCCAGGTGTACGCCATTCACTGCAGCCAATTTGCTGCATGAGCCGTGTCTGTTGTGTGCCCAATGACAAGGCTATTATTTATTTATTTAGAGATGGAGGTTCGCTCTTGTTGCCCAGGCTGGAGTACAATGGCACAATCTTGGCTCACGGCAACCTCCGCCTGCCAGGTTCAAGAGATTCTCCTGCCTCAGCCTCCCCAGGCAGCTGGAATTACAGGCATGCGCCACCACGCCTGGCTAATTTTGTATTTTTAGTAGAGACAGAGCTTCTCTATGTTGGTAAGCCTCAGGTGCTCCGCCTGCCTTAGCCTCCCTAAGTGCTGGATTATAGGTGTGACCCACTACACCCAGCCCAGAGAAATATTAACAGCAAGAACTGCCAGCTGACAGCAAGAGCCAAACGTTTTCAGGGATCCAGTCTAAGACCCTGGCTTGCTACTTAGCAATAGGCATTCTATGATGGGCTGATTCTGAAGGAGGGAGTCAGCCACTCTTGAGCCACTGCAGCAAAGTCACTTGGTCTCAGTCTGGGGGGAAGCACTTTAATAGCTAAACATTCTAGCCTTGATTTTTCTGAAGGGAATACACCCGTTTTCAATTCTGGGGTTTTCTTGGGGGTACTTGCTTGGCTGTATGTGAACTTGTGATCCGAGGAGAAAGAACAATGTTGGCTTTCAAAGTGACCGTAGTTTTCTGTTTGCTACTAGATAAGGCAAAAATAAAACATTCTTATTTTTATAAATTCCATTTCTGAAATGACATGATTTCTAAATAACAAATATTCTTGATCAATGTTTGAAGGAAATGATCTTTTTATCTTAGAGCAACTTCACTTCTTTGAGCCTCATGTGTGTTCTCAATTACGAAATGTGGATAATAATAGTATCTGTCCCATGGATATTTTGAGAAGGTTGAATGAAGAGGAAATTATTATAAAGAACTAGCTGGGCGTGGTGGCTCATACCTGTAATCCCAGCAGTTTGGGAGGCCAAGGCGGGCAGATTGCCTGAGGTCAGGAGTTTGAGATCAGTCTGGCCAACATGGTGAAACCCTGTCTCTACTAAAAATACAAAAAAAAAATTAGCCAGGCGTGGTGGTGTGTGCCTGTAATTCCAGCTACTCAAGAGGCTGAGGCAGGGGAATTTCTTGAACCAGGGAGGTGGAGGTTGCAGTGAGCTGAGATGGAGTCACTGCACTCCAGCCTGGATGACAGAGCAAGATTCCATCTCAAAGAAAAAACGCCTAGAGGTGTCTGACATATAGTATCTTCCAGTAAATGTTCACTATTCTTAGCATCTCAGACAGATGAGCTAGTGTAGATAGATGATTAAGTCAGCTTGCTTCACAGAAATTAGTGTGAGTTTGGTAGCATACCAACTGATAGTATCAGACTTTGAAAATAAATGATTTTGCTTACTCCTTTAAAAAAAAGAAAAAGGGCTAGGTGCGGTGGCTCACCCCTGTAATCCCAGCACTTTGGGAGGCCAAGGCAGGTTAATCACAAGGTCAGAAGTTCAAGACCAGCCTGACCAACATGGTGAAACCCTGTCTCTACTAAAAATACAAAAAAATTAGCCAGGCGTGGTAGCAGGCACCTGTAATCCCAGCTACTCGGGAGGCTGAGGCAGGGAGTTGCTTGAACCAGGGAGGTGGAGGTTGCAGTGAGCCAAGATCACAGCACTGCACTCCAGCCTGGGTGACAGAGCGAGACTCTGTCTCAAAAGAAAGAAATAGAGTCTCCCTATGTTTCCCAGACTGTCTTAAACTCTTGCCCCGAGCAATCCTCCTACCCTAGCCTCTCATAACACTGGGAATACAGGCATGAGCCACTGTGCCCAGCCTGGTTTTATTTTCTTATTCCCATTTTTTTCCCAGATTTTCAGACCATGGGCTTGCTACTGCACTGAGCACATTTTGTGAGAGTGTTCACAGCCCTGGGCCCAGTTGCTATTTCCTGATCTCGGTCTTATCAACTTGATCTTGCTTCGCTGTCATTTTTACATTTTCTCATTAGCTTTCTCCCCACTGCTCCTTCGTCTGCTTCCTTCTTCCTTCTTTAATTAACCCCTCACCTGCAACTGGGTGTGCTTGGGTTCTTGACTGAGCTTGTATGAAAACTGACCGTGAAACAGGTAAGTAGGGAACGAGGATGTTTTACAAGAGAAATGACTGTAATACAGGAAGCCAATCTAAAGAGGATAAGACATATAGTTCAAAGGAGGCAGAAAGAAAATCCTAACAGATACTCAAATCTATTGATAATCACTTTCTGGAAGAGGAAAAAAAGGCTGACACACAAATCCCTTGCTAGAGAAATTACAAAGCCAAGAAAATAGATAAGCCTGAGGATTAGAGAGATGTTCATTTGCTAGGCGGAACACAAAAGCGCAGACCGCAGACTAGAATGTGTACAAAACCCTCTGCAGCCTTTTATTGTCCGTCTTCGCCAAAGCTGTTATGTAAAACCCTCTGGGGAATGGATGAAACTATGTTTACACAGTTCTTTAAGTGCAGAAGCATCATGTTAAATAAATCTACAGGGCAGGATTGTTAGTCTTTCTCCTTCTCAAGCAAACTTCAATGCTGTCAGATAACCTCTCCGTGTCATCTCTCCTTTTCTCTTAGAGTGAGCCCTTCCTGAGAACCCTTCGGAACAGTAACTACATGTACCCCACCAAGCCAGCGATTGAGGTAACCACTGACTCACATCTCCCTCTCAGACACAAACCATTTCCACCTGCCAGGGGCTTGGGTGTGGTGCAGGTTTCAGAGTGTTCATCGAAGCAGAAATGTACTTCTTACATACTGGGGATTGGAATGTACAGAAAAGGCGCCCAAACCATGAAGCCCCAGGATTGCCTTAACATGTTCTCAAGTTGCTTACCTGACGTCGGCCCCCAAGCAGAGGAAGTGGCTGTGCATCGACTTTCTTTGACCTTTGCAATCCTGGGCTCACAGACATGGTTACTGCTTAGGCAGCTCAGCCTCTCAAGAAGGAGAGGCCGTGGGTGTGAAGGTGGAAGCTGAGTGGGGAGGGAACTGCAATTCCAGCGGTGAGGCCAAAAAGGAAGTAGAGGCCTGTTCACATGGGCCCCTAGGCCTTGTCTGGTTCAAGTCGATCATTCTAGTGCTGAGGATTCAGAGCCCATGACTTTAGGGACAGCCACTCCAAAGATAGCCTGGATGACCCTGGATTACACCATGCTTTGCTGTCAGGCCTGGTCCAGATCAGGTCTGTTGGTCACCAGGATGGGGTTCAACCAGCAGTTTCC